GCACGCAGACTAAAAATTTGATATAATACTAAACCATGAAGATTTTAACATATATATGTGCATACATATATGTTAAAATGTTTTTGTGTTGTAAGGTGATATATATATATACACACACAATACATAAACCTTTACAATTTTGTATTTTACCCTTAAGATCATGATTTTTCAAGTTAACTTTTATAAGAGGTATAATGTTGATTGAGTTCAAGAATCATTTTTGGTCTATATTATGTTAATGTGAATTGTTGGAAAGGGTATCCATGCTACATAGAACTTCTTTTGCAATTTTGCAGAAACTAAGAATCTAAGTGCATTCAATTCTGGAGTCACTCACATCCAAGTTTGGAATGTGTTTAGACTCTCTCATTCTCTCTCTCTCTCTCTCTCTCTCTCTCTCTCTCTCTCTCTCTCTCTCTCTCCCCTCACATACACACACACACTCTTTTATATTTTTAAGTAAAAATATTTATTTCACTTAAAGTAAATCTATCTTTAGCTTGAAAAGACCCTTAGTTGAAAAGCCTACTTGGAGGAGATGAAAATTTGGGGAACTGAATGAGTATCATAAGGATCCCCAATAACACTCAACTCTAGACTGTAGGATGGTTTTATGTCATGTGAATGTCACTTCAGTACAAAGGTGAAAATGTTTATATTTATATATGTTTATATTCCTCTAACCTTTCAAATTTTATGAATGCTATTTTTCAAAAACTGTTTATAAATACGTCCTTTCATTATTATCAGTCAACTTATCTTTCATGTGTTTAGTTTCAGTTCCCAGATCCCTTTAGGTAATATCCTAATATCTAACCTACAAGGTACAACATTTTTCCACAGTGAGTCAACATGTGGGCAGTCAGAACAGCAGCAGTTTTTAGAAGACCTAATATTTCTTGGCAATCAATTTCTGAATGTCCTTAGTCATTCTTTGGCCATCATTTATATCCTCAGTTGTCTTCATCCTTCTGAACCCAAGTGCCCTAAACAGAACACTTTATTATATCATGTGGTGATCACTGCCTTTCTCTCTGAGTGCACAGCCCAGGGTAATATATTTTATCACTTTTCTGGCATGTAGCTCATAGACCTCTCTTAAATTAAAGCAACATGGTGAGTCAAGGGCAAAGAGTCTAAGATCTCTGTGACTTACTGAATTTCCAGTCTGGTACAGAAACTTCATCCCTTGTACTTACTTTAATTAATAGGAAAGATGATATCATTTAGATATAGAAAAATTCTGATTCCAAGGAATCTTGAAGATTTCCTCAGGTTAAGATAAATACACTGAGTCCTTATATTCATATTGTAGAATTAGCTTTTAAAAAAAATCACTGAGATATTGGTATTACTACACTCAGTGTAAAATCAAACAGTTGGTCAATTTTAGTCTAGAAAAGAACACCCTCACTCCCCCCATAAATAAACCCACACCCATACCCACACACATTTTGGGTTACAACTGGCAGTGCTCAGGGGATACTTTGGCTCTACTTGACTCTGTGCTCAGAAGTCATTACTTGGTGCTCAAGGCACCATCTGTGGTATAAGATAAAATAGGGGTTGGCTGCATGCAAGGCAAATGCCTTAACCCCTATGCTATGTCTGTAGCCCCCATTTATAAAAAATATTTCTTATGATATGTAGCCAGAATGATAGTACACTTTCTGTTCATGTGATGATCCCAGTTCAATTCCAACATCCCTTATGAGCCCTGCCTGGAGTGATTCCTAAGTACAGAGACAGGAATAAGACCTGAGCACCGCAGGATGGGGTCCCAAAGAAACAAAACTAAACAAGCAAAAGACAAAACAACACAAAGCCAAATATACTTCTTATAAGAAAATTAGCTTTTACCTTCAAAATTCCTTTGATGTGGCCATTGAGAAATACAAATTTAGTCCAGAAAACTTGACAGACTAAAGTCAAGTTATGACATGATTATAAAGCCATCTACTCCAGCATTGCTTCAGATTTTAGGGATGAAATGATTAGAAAGACATCTGCATTTCTTTATGTAGTAAGCTCTTCCTTACTCCCAAGTACTCTGATCAATGGTGAATGGTGAGAGAATTGAAGTTATAATATCAAAGCTTTAAATACCAATCTAATGTTATTATTCATCTGTTCTGATTTTTCATTGGGTATGTCTTATGTTACTTCCATTACAAAAGTTGAAATTTCTTGTTAATGTATTTTCTCTTTTCTTTCATTGTATTCTCAAATTTCTAGCATAATTTTCCCATATTAGGGTTTTCTGAATATTTGTGTTCCAAGGAAATGGACACCAATCTTTGATGAAACATGTACTATCATCTGGCATATTTGGGGAAAATGGCATACTATTTTTTCTTCTCATGAAGAACCCATGAGTTTTTAAAGTATACTAAGTATACTAAAAGAGTGGAGAAGTCCTATGCTAAAGAAATCTATAACTGTTTTTTTAAACTTATTTTGACCACAAAATATGTGTGTGGGTGCGTGTGTATCCTAATACTAATGGCAGCTTCGGAACCCAGTATCTAAAACCTTTTTTATAAAACAAATAGCCTGTGGACACAGGTTTCATTTTCTTATTACTGTATTGAAATAGCAATTTCAAAGCATACCAGAAATTAAAATGGAAAGCCTCGTTATTGATTTTTGTTGTTTCTTCTAAAGATATTAAAATAATTGTTATGGTGTAGGCAACATGGTTATCGTAGTGTTATTTTTGATGTACACAAAGTTAATTGCATCTCCACTCCCACCAAATTACTAAGACCCACTACCACTGTCTTTATGTTGTTTAAAATCTGCCTGTTCTTTTTTTTTTTTTGAAGTAAAAGAGATTTTATTTGGAGGCTTTTAGGAAGGGGAAGGAAAGATAGAAAGTGAGAGAAAGCAAGGCACTTAAGAGAGAACGCAGGCTTCTCCAAAGGTAGAGAAAGCCACTACACACACCCCAGCAAAAGACATGAAAGAAGAAAGTACGTATCTCAAGAGGGAAGATGCAGACAACACATGTGCTCGGGTGCCACATGTGTTCGGCTATGTGGGCGCAATCACTAGGGACTAGCACAAGGACTAGGGCAGCATACACACCTGCCTCTTATCTTCACTTCCAAATTGTCCCCCACACTCTCTTACTACTTGGTAATCTCAGTTCTGTTAATCTAAGGTCAAGTGTTGTCACTGTTAAAAACTGTATATCCCATTTTTTTCTCTATATATCACAATGAGATCATCTGGTGTTTGTTTTTCTCAGTCTGGCTTATTATGTTTAACATTTTATTGAACTGCCCTCCAATTCCATGTGTGCAGCAGTAAACTGTAAGGTTTTTATTTTCTCATCTGCTATAGGGATTTTAAAAAAATTGAATCACCGTGAGATACAGTTACAAAGCTTTCATGACTGAATTTCAGTCATACAATGATTAAACGCTCATTCCTCCAAAGTGTACATTTTCCACCACCAATGTCCCCAGTATCCTTCCTGTCACCCTGCTATAGATTTTTTTATTGTTTTTATATTCTGGCTATTTATTGTATTTAGTGCTGCAATCAACATAGGTGTTTGGTATTCAATAATTTAGCATTTGCAGGGAATGACTACACAGAACTGGGATATCTTTCTCAAAGGATTTTTTTTTCTTTAGAATTTGCTGAAAGACACTACACAACAAATTACAATTTCAAAACACTGCTAAATGTCTTTCAAAAAAGTTGAAAATGAATAGTTAAGTTCAGGAAGACAGAGCTGGAGACAGAGATGATGGGGAGATTGTTGTGGGTGAGGGAGGGTTGGCCTCATAGCTATCATTATTATCAAGTAGTTATCATAATTTTCTTATAATTACAATGTCCAGATGTTTCAACATGTCAGAGACCAATCCAGATCCATCCTTATTTTCTCTTCTTTACACTTTAACAGTCTGACCCCTTACTATCTCACCAAAATACCTGGTGGGTTTGCTCCTCAATGCAAGAATTCGTATTGAGTTTGTAAATGAGGTTGGTGTTATTACCTAAAGGTTTACCTAACCTGTGGTTTATTATTCATCCAACTTGTTACAGATAACAAGTTCCTTAACTGCAGAGTTTGGAAATCCGTTGCATTTGTAATACCTTCTGCCATTAGGACACGTGCACTCAGGACAGGTACTAACTATACCTTGATGGATAGGTCGGTTAACTTGGGGACAAAAACAAGTCTTTTAACTGCTATGGAACCTCTCATATGCTGAGGTATGTATTTAATGACTCTTTCATTCTCATTACTTTCTCAAAAACTTTTCTGGGCTTAGGGCAGGAGTGATAACACGGCGGCAGGGTGTTTGCCTTGCACACGGCAGACTCAACCGACCCGGGTTCGATTCCTCCACCCCTCTCGGAGAGCCTGACAAGCTACAGAGAGTATCTCGCCTGCACAGCAAAGCCTTGCAAACACAGTAACAACAAGTCTCACAATGGAGACGTTATTGGGCCCGCTCGAGCAAATCGATGAACAATGGGAGGACAGTGACAGTGACAGATGCTTCATATGAAATCAAATTCCTTCAACTGAATTTACTATGTTCTTAATTAATTAAATATAACTAACTTATTTTGTTAGTTGTAAAAGCCACATACTGTGGTGCTCCAGAGGCCTAGGGTATCCCTGGCACAGCTCGGGGGTCCATACAGTGTTTGTTTTTTGGCCTTTTGGGTCATACCTGCTGATCCTCAGGGTCACTCCTGGTTCTGCACTCAGAAATTACTCCTGTTGGTGCTCTGGGACCATATGGGATGCTGGGGATCAGATTCAGGTCTCCACGTGCAAGGTAAATGCCCTACCTGCTGTTCTATTGCTCAGACCCCCTCAAACACCCCAAAACACAGTGTTTGGGATGGAAGCCAGGATCATGCACATTCGTCTGACCACTTGAACCACATCCCCAGCTAAAAGCTTATGAATTTTTAGAGTAAAAAATCTATGTTCTATTAATATTTGTCTATTGAACAAATTGTGAAAAGAATAAGAATTGGTTAAATTTTAATGGTAAAAAGTAAAATGTTCATACTACATTTTACTTTATTATTGACATTTATGTTACTATTATAGTCCTTTATGTAGACAAAATAAATGGTACAAACACAAAGTACACTATGATTTCAACTTACACAAAATACTAAATGATTGAAACAATGTTACACATATACTTTACAAAAGGAAGCACAAAATATCACATTCAAATGAAAAATTTCATTATACTTTGAATGTTATACAATGTTAAATATGCACATATTAAAAATTTTACTTATAGAACTAATTGGATATTTTACTATTTAAAATAATATTGTGTAAATGAATTCTTATAAAATAGTTTGAAAGCAAAAGCTATTTTCTACTCAACTACTAGGCAGTTATAAAAATATATTTCTATCTGCAACACTTATAAATTTGTTTGAGGCACTAGATATTCAAATTTAAATGTAGGTTTTCTAAAGCATTTCCTCAACTTCGTGTTTTTGATTCCCCTGTACACATACACACATGGCGTTAGACTAGAAAAGGTCTGCATTACAAATGATGTCATTTCAAATAATATACACAGGCAATCATTAACACAGAAAATGTACTGTGAAGGTTTTCAAACTAAATACACCTAATACAGAAAACCACCAGTTGTTCCTAGTACAAACACATTTGCTGAATGAATGCATGAGTGGGTTATATTTATTATTTGCGCCCCAGATGAACTATCCAAATCTTTCAATTTATAAATCAAAATGTCATTAAAAATACCAATTTTGTTCTTTATTAGCTACTTCTGGATAACAAAAAGTCAGATAAATTGACTCCATATTGAATAGCAAATTAATGTTGGAGAGCACAATAGTTTACTAGGTATACTTGCCATGAATTTGGGCGCCTTGGATGTCTACAGAAAATGCAATGTATTAAACAACTGTTTTTCATATCTCCATTCAAAAAGAGTCTAATTTTTAGACAGTACTGCTATAAAAGCAAAAGCACCAGCTACATAAAGTGTGCTTGAGTTTATATATGCATGCAGTATAATACTGATATATCTTAGCAAAACACATATCTCTTCTCAGTGAGAAGCACCTATCCTGAGTGAAGAAGGTATGTGTCAACACAATGACAGCTAGAAGATGCCCCAATCATATCCAACAGTCCCATGCATGAGTAACTTGCCAATTTGAATGCTGAAACTATTATTAAAGACAGTTTTAAAGTAGCAATTTTTCTCCCTAAACCTAAAGACCATTATGAAACAGGAAGACTCATAAAAATAATGGGATTGCTGCAGCATGAAGTTTGTGGTCATTGCATGTTTGAGAAATTTACCTCAGCCTGTTTGCGGCAAAGACATCTCTGTAACTTTCCATAATCTCTTCTAGTTTAGGTAGGGTAATATTTTTTTCTAAATTTTATCACCAAAACTTTAAAAACTTAATGGAACACAGAGTATTTCTCTTAATCCACTTCAGATCATGCTAAACCATTTTGGAAGTCTTTTGTATTTCATACTTTTAAGGAGAGAAAATGACCATTCCATAAACTGAATTTCATACATATATATGTATACATACACATATATATAAATAAAAATATAAGGATATTTATCAAATAACTACTTTGGGAAGGAAATTAAATTATAATTCAGTCTGTTAACTCATTTTAAGAGAAGTCTTTAAAAATCAGTTTCTGAAAACTCAGAAGCAATTTAGCCATATACTCAAAATTAGTTAATACTTTGAGAAGCAATTCTAAGAAAGACTTCTAGAGTAAAATGTACAATAGAATGACTTATAGTAATGCTTTTATAATAGTTATCTGTACCATACCATGCTATATAGAAAAAGATCTTTGTGATTTTAATAGTATAAATACAAATTCATTACCTTCCAATACTTAAAATAACTACTCTCAACTAACTGCTTCAAAGTCCAGTAAGTTTGAATTTTGTTTATACTGTCTGTGCCTTGTTTGTTTAGTTAATAAACCCCTCAGTTGTTTATCCACTCATTTTCTTGGTTTTTACAGACAGTGCAGATGTTATTTTTATCCTTTACTTAATATCAAAAAAGTTAAAATTTATAGAATAAAAAGTAAACGCCATTACAATTTTTTACATATTCTTGTATCACAGAAATTAACCTATTTTCAAATTAAATGTTGTAGTATGGATGCTGATGTCCTGAGCCACAGGAATAATGTGATTTATAGATAGAAACTATGAGACTTCAAAGATTGTGGTACTAGTTCATAAATAAACCATATCATCTAAATTCAACATTTTTGTTCAGTATAATGAAAACTGATACCATATTGTTTCTTTTTTCTAAGACTATGCATCGAAATAGGTGTGAAAGTCGTCTTCTCAAGTTATACTTTATACTTATACTTTCAATATATTAAATTTTATAATATGTAATATTAGAAAACTTCATAAGACACGAATATATGTTTAAGATGAAGTAATTTTGAAATAACAGTTAATTTTTGATCAAAATCCATGTTGAGTCAAAATTTTTACATAGACTTTCCTTTAAGAGAGGCAGATGTCCAAGCAGAGAGGTTGAAAGATCAACAATGATTAAAGGAATTGTAGAGAACTATGTGAGCATTTAGGTAATCCATTCTATAAACTAAATGATATTAAATATTATAATGAACTGCATTAAGATATTGAAAAATTATTTTATTCATTTATTCCTTAAACATTTCTGTGACTACCATTTAGAATAATAGTCAAATTTTATTTTTTCTGAGACTTCAAAATATGGCTAAAACTGTTATTTGTATTATATAAATAAATATATATGTACGCAGATATATATTACATATTGTGTGTGGACATGGGCAAGATTTTAAACTATTCTTGGATTTGATTCCTCTATTACAAAATGAAGGTGATGAAAAGAGTGCTACCTAGGTGTGCTATAAAAAATTGGGGGAAACAATAACAAAAAAGTAAACTTGAAGCAACTAGAAGCATTGCTTGGCAGAGAGTAATTACTAGTAATTAAGTAACCCCCTAGTGTTAGCTAAAATTTGTATTAAATAAAAAATGTCAGTGACTGATATTACATACATCATTACTAACTTTTAAGCATCTAATAAATGCCAAGAACACTAAAATATGGTACACTTGCATTATGTTCAACACATTCTGTCATATAGAGACTAAATCTTGCTAAATATGCCAATTTACAAATAACACAATGATAGATAACATTACCCATGAAACAGAGTAAAGTACAGCTAAAATGTTAGGGATCTCTTTTTGCCTCTATAATGAGGACTGCTGCTTACAGCACAATGATCAGAAAATAAAGTAATGACAGTATGAAATGCGTTTGCTAGTGCATCGATTTTGCTCACTCATTAACTCTCAAAGTTTGTGTTGAATGTAATAAAACTTTAAGTACACGAATATTACGATTTACTAATGCCACTGGATTGGAGCAGTTGTTGTGAAAGTAAGGATAAATTTCTGACATTGAAGGACAGACTTAATATAGATATTTACATTAAGGTTTTATGGTAATTAAATTCAAACCACTTATTTGAATTTATTTTTTTAAAACCTTAATACTGGTTTGTTTTTCTTTTTTAAAATTAAAAGAATAAATTGAGGTTTACAATGCTATTCATAGAAATTTCTCATGCACATGCTTGTTTTTCTTTATACATACAAACTTATGACCAGTCTTAAGTGCTTCCGTGCCAAATACCAATTATTATTACCAGGATCCAAAACATATTACACATATGTAAGAGAATTTTTGTTAGTCAACACATAAATGGCAATAATGAAAAGATTTTAATTTTAGTATTAAAATTTTATTTTTAATTTTAAGAGCTGTCATCAAATTTCAAAAATTAAAATGTAATGGTCAGTAAATAGTTTGATTCTGAAAGGCATGTCACCCACGGAGTCTAAATTTATATAATTATGAAAATTACAATAATAATATTAGGGAATTTTAATTGTTTAAAATTATGGATTTATTTATATTACCATAATAACTATGCTAAAAATGTGATTTTATCAATGGAGAAATGATAAACATTACATATACTTTAGAATGAAAATAGAGTAACACCTGTGCTTCCATTAACCATCAGAGACCCTGGAGGTCCTTTTAAAGTTTTGACAAATAAAGCTTTATTTTTATGTCTTGTAGATATACCTTGATAGAAAACTGTTCAACATGGTGTCTTCTATTGAGTCTAACAGATCAATGAAAGTTGTAACAAAGTTCTTTTAGGTTTCTTTTCTTACCTCCCTTCCACCAGTCCTACTTGGCTCACCTCTAGGTTACCAAAGGCACAATCTGGTGTGCATGCAGAGAGCAATTACAGAACTAGTTTGCTAGAACTGACCTGGAGCATAAATCTTCTCCTAAACTGGAACATCATGCTGCAGAGATGAAATCAGCTCTCTTGTCTGCTACTAAGAAACCCACCCTTACAAGCAGAATTTAAAAAAGGATGGTCTCCGCCTTCCACTCATGAACTTTTCTAATTCAAGCAGTATATTGAAAACACAACACCCCAAATCAAGCCATCTTCAGTATCGTAGTATGATTTAGAAGACCTGGCTACATTTCTTCAGTGACAGACTTCTTCAAGTAAAAATATCCATTATTACATGATCCCATTTGGAGAAGATGAAAACAAACACAATAAAATACATGAAATAAACAAGAGAGGAGGCACAATGGTTTTTTTTTTTTCATGTCCAATAGTAGAACCATAAATTCCAGGGATGAATTTTAGGATATTTAATGTCAATACACAGAGAAATCAGTTTGTGAAGCTGTATCATGTAAATGAATGTCTATCCATTTACAGGATGATTTTTTCCAAATATTAGTTATTTACGTGGTGAAGCATTTCTTTATATTGAGTTAAAAATGTTTAGCCAGCACATCCTTTGTCGTCTGTAGCGTTGAGAAGCTTCTGCTTGCCTGGTTCCTTGGGGATTCTCTTCAATCTTCAACTGGGGGAGGTGGCTCACACAGTCTGTATAGCCTACAAGAGGAATGGCAAAGTGTGAAAGCTCCTCTCACTGAGATGCTTTCAGTATACAACAAACACATTGGCAAGAGTTTCTTGGTTCAGGAGTCATGATTATTTTGAGAATTTTGATAAACATCACCTAGAAATGTGGAAATCCTAGCCTGGCAGGTCTGTATTCAGGACACAGCACTGTTCCTTTGCACATATCAATGAAGACTGATTAAGCACCGCTGTCTTCTTTCACAGCAGCTGTTTCTGCTTCAGGACTGCTAAGCCCAGCTGCTCACCTTGCTGGCAGCAAAATCAATTCTCTTAGTTCCAGAAGATGATATTATTGTAATTACCATCTTGCCTATCATGACTATCTCAAGCAAACATTCCCTATTACCATTAGGGTTCTAAAGATTTTCTGACCAGTCTGAGAAATTTGCTTCATGTTGCACTGTCCACAATTGACACCGGATAGTCAATGGATTATGGAGATGTTCATGTGGAAGTTTCCAGAGGTCTGAATCTCAAAGGCACAATTAGTTGGGATTTCCTGAGGACTATCAGCTCAGCCCTGTTTCCTTACTCAGCTGGCACAGAATCTGGTGGAGAGTAAAGAGGCTCAAAGGACCCACTAATGGAGATGGCTGGGTGAGATCTTTGTACCCTCCTTTACACCCAGTTGCACTAGTTTGAGAACGAATGCCAGTATGACAAAGCACAGCAGACTAAACCAGGACTACACAAATTCTAAACTCTATTCTCCTCAGTAGGTAAATGCTAAATATAGACCCAAAGCAACACGGACCATTCAGCTACAATACTACATTATGTCAGAGCTAGTCAAAAAGGAGATTGTTGACCGGATTGTCTTACAGTGAACTCTGGCTGTGGATTCAACATTAACACCCAGGACCAATTTGAAAAATTGATGATCTAAAACTGAAAAGATGTCAACTTTGCTTTTTATGAAACATCAGAAAGACTCCAAACCTCTGGGCAGTTGTGATAATTCTATCCCTCCTAAGTTAAATATGGCTTAAATAGTTGTTGACAGGATAGAAAAAATTTTAAGTTCTCTCACCACGTCTACAAGGAATCCCATGCAAATTCTAAAACAAAGCAGGGAAATGAGAAGTATTTAACGTGAAGTGAGAAACTTAGTTAACGAAACGAGTTTTTCTAATTTGGAAACACACAAAAGAAGCAACTGCTCTTGTAGGTTGATAGAATAACTTTCAAGTCTAGAAGGTGGTTAATGCCTTACATGTCATGTCCATGGGAGAAAAAAATGAATACAGAAATAAGTACATTTCACATCAGAAAAGCTTATTTTATCCTAGCTGGAGAAAAGAATACATTAAATTGAGCTGATGTATTTCAAAGCTGCTTCTGCAGTTGAATGATATGGTGGGGTTTCAAACTGCATTTGCAGGGCTGGAATAAGAGAATGATCAGAAAGCTCTTTTCCTCTTTAATTTATATCAAACTCTTATTACATGAATAAACTGCCAAATGAGTGAAAAGGCATAGTGGCTTTATACAGGTATTAAACAAAACTGCAGGCTGGGTGGCAACTGTCCTACCCTGAGGAATGGGCTGAGCTCTGCATTCCATCACCTTGCAGAGCACGTTTTCTCATAATATAACTAATGTCACTGGGTAGATGAGTCCTGAAATGTCCGCAAATGGATGAAAAGCCTACTCCCTGTGATCACCTAATGAAATAACGGGCTCTGGCTGCTGTGGAGCTGGGCAGATTCAGCTTCTGGGAGGCTTCTTGGAAGTGATTCAGGGTTATTTGAGGTCAGACACATTTGTAATGGAAATGATGGGGCTCTGGGAATTTAGAACAGGCAGATAAAGTCTGGAAGTAAAATAGGATAGGTAAAAGTTGGACATGAACGCTACTTAGAGGTGAGGCTTTTATTTTGTTTTAGCTTTTGCTGTAGCAGATGAGTTGTTAGATTGTGGGAGGGCTTTGTCCTACATGCTGGGGTCCCTGTGGTCATCTTATTCTACTCATGGACACCAGTGGCCCTGCATGAACAACGGTCTGAGCTCTATTTTCCCTTTTCCTCAGTCAATTATTCTGGTGCTGAGTTTTTCTGCCCAAATCCAAATATGCTGAGAACCAAACTTGCAGAAGTGAGTATATTAGAGATTATGCTTTTCACTTTTCTACAAAGCAACAACAAATATGACAAAGACCATGGAGAAAATGGTCTATCACAGGTATTCAATAATAGTCTATCCCACGGTAATTCTCCCCATCTTACAGATGAGAAAATAAATCACAGAAGATGAATGGCCTGACTAAACAAATGGTCATATAGAAGGAGCTGCCTTGAAACCACTTTCTTTTAATCACTTGACCAAGCTGTCTCTCAATTAAATAAAGAAAATCAGCTCCCCTAGGACGATAGTTTCCATATTTTGTGATGTCATAGAAAATAAGATGAGTTACAGCTGGAATACAATTGTTTTTGGTGCTAGGAGGAGGGAGATGTGGGGAGTTACTTTGTTTTGTGTTTTATTTTGTAATAATGGGGTTGGAGCCCAGGGACTCATTTATGCAAGGCACATGCTCTACCACCATCTCCATCCCTGGCCTCAGTGTTAGGTTCATGATGAAGATATGTTTCGTGGTGAACATATTGTTCAGAAAAGCTACTGCATGAAATTCAGGAAGACAGTTATTTGTACAAGGACACATATGTCCATCAACCATTAGTCTCAATATTACTATGATAAGCACATCATTGTGTCCTATATACTATCTCAGTGACTAAAACCAGTCACCCTCTATTTACTGACATAAAATTATTTGAAATATTTGTTATCTGAAAGTCTCCTTTTCCCTAGCTTCCTTCATATATTTAGTTTCCAAGGACAATTAATACTGTCTGATCCATTTTCTCACCTTCATCCTCAATACAAAACTAATTTTCTTTTAAGATTCACAAATGGCTCCTGTGTCACCAGAGATAAATTCTAAAACTCAAATCTATTAGACTGCTAATGTCTTCCTTATGTTGTCAAGATAAAGATCAAAATTCTTTTTCAAATTTCTTCCTGATGTAGCACCTATGTCTCAAATGCACTTTGCATCATTCTTAAATGATATTCAACCATTATTTAGAGATGTGGAATAGTGCTCAGAGTAGGATGCATTCTTCAGTCATAGGTCCCACTACATTAGCGGAATAGGAAGACCACTGATTATCATGCTGACAGGGGCAGGGATGCTCTGCAACTTCTCTCTATCCTGAGATTAAGTCATGTGCCCCTTCTGAGCTTTCTCAGGACAATGTGTGCCTATTTTTGTCTTGGTTCCTATCACATATGAGTGCAGTTTTCATTTTATTCTATTGTCATTGCGTTGCTTCACACTGACTGGTGAAGGCGACTATGTTTTTATATCTGGGTTTTAACAAAGTGCCTGACCACCCCCCCCTCCCCGCATACAGAGAGAGAGAGAGAGAGAGAGAGACAGACAGAGACAGAGATAGACAGAGACAGAGAGATAGACAGAGACAGAGACACAGAGAGACAGAGACAGAGAGAGACACAGAGAGACAGAGAGCAGGAATCCAGTAAATGTTTATTGAATGAATTTAATAAAGTAAACAAAAAACAGAGTGAATGGTGAAAGAAGAAGTATGATAGATATTGGGAATTTGAATCAAATTTAATCTCAAAGAGAACACACTTTGGGCAATAACACTGGAGGGCTGATCCAGAGAACAGTTTACTGGTGGTAGTAGGAGGATGGTGGGTTGGATGGGAGGGTCCTTGGGGTAGTGGTGGAGGGGACCAGGTTCTGCTCTGCTCTATGGAGTAGGAGTAGTAGGCATGTATCGAGTAACTACCATCAACAGTATTGTAAATAAAAATAAGTACTTCAATTAAAACAATTTTTGTTGTTTTGGGGCCACACTTGTAAGTGCTCAAGACCTACTCCTGGCTCTGAGCTTAGGATTGCTTTTGGAGGAGGGCTTGGGGAACCATGTCAAAGACTGAACCTAGTTTGGCAACGTGGAAGACAATGTGGAAGCACCTTATTGCTCCAGCCCCTAAATAATTTTATTTTTTAAAAAGAAGGGTCTGGCTTTGAGAGTCAAATAGATTCTTCTTCAATTTATTGTCTTTTTTTTTTTTAAAAAAAATTCACTTCTTAGCTAGAAGAGATGGAAAGTTCTCACATGGTGCTTCTTATGTTTTACATTTACTGGAAGTTCCAATTTAATCATTTATTTTCTGTAATCTCAGTGAGGGCCAGAACTACTTTTATCTGAAGTTCATATTTTCCAAGGAGCAGAACAGAGGGCTTTCCATACCTTAGGTCCTCAGTGAACAGTTACATAGTGAAAGAAAAAATCCATTTTTTAAAACAAAATTATATGAGCCTAGATTTCTCTTTCAGTGGCTATTGTTTATTTTCTTGTCAATTTTATGGTTGATACATTTTATTGTGTCTCACTTCAAGTATTTTAAAACATAACTTGATAAAAAAAAAGTGAGTTCCTCTGTTTCTTATATTCTGCTAGCTTATTGGTTTATTGATCAGGATGCTGAAGTCTTATCTCTTAAGCCCACTGTTTATTAGTGTTTATAAGCTCTTACTAAGAAGTCCTTACAGAGCCATTATCTTGTTTTCTTATTGGAATTTTAACACTTCACTTGGTGTATTATCTAAACAAGCCATATACGCTCAAGGCACTGGAGAGAATGCCTATGCGTAATGATTCTTGAGTAATAAAAAGTTTTAGATCTAATCTAATCAACCATGAAAGATAACATTGACAAGAATTCAGGATAAAATCCATTTAGGAGTCAGCACTAAAAATAAATGCAATTAGAACATGAGTGCTTCATTCATTTTCAAGAGAAAAAATGTTTTCTTTTTTGAAAGAACTTGCACTGCCCACGTAGTTTTTGAGAATGAAATATATGTTCATAAATGCTGCAGTCATAGTTCTTATCCTGGTTATTGATCTGTAAATAGAAATAAAAGTTTCTTGTCTTGAACTGTGTGGAGGGCCTATTTTTTGTTGAAATGCATATATTAAAGTAATGAAATATAAAAGAGATTATTTAGCTTTACTTTGCTAAAGATAGATGGCAGCCTACCCTCTTGTCACTAGGGTAATCAAACTGACATTTCTCTGATGGCTGTTCTCATGTTCCTTATTTTCAAGGTGGATTAGAGTTCAGTTCTTATAAATTGTGAATATTTTATCTGATAACCCAAAAAAGGCTCATTCAGTCATTTATTCATTTAACACATTCTTAAAACCAGTTTCATATGTGTGATGCCTAACATGTAGACATGAGGATGAGCTACAAATAAAATCTGAAAAATATGTTACTTTTCACCAAAGATTTATAATTAGGCTGGTCCAAGAGACAAGTAATGATAAATTGCCACTCAATATGTTAAAGTGATAAGAGATCACTATGTAAGAGGCTAAGAGGGTAGTGAAGGAATCATGCAAGATTTAAGGAGACTATAGACCGAACAGGATGGTCACTCAATACCTCTATTGCAAACCACAACACCCTAAAGGAAAGAGAGAGCAAAAGGGAATGCCCTTCCACAGAGGCGGGGCCCGGGAGGGGGGGGGGGACTGGGGATGGGGGTGGGAGGGTAACTGGGATCAGTGGTGGTGGAGAATGGGCACTGGTGGAGGAATGGGTACTAGATCATTGTATAACTGAAACCCAAGCACAAAAGTTTGTAAGTCTACAACTGTACACCATAGTGTTTCACTAATAAAAATTAAATTAAAAAAAAAGATTCAAGGAGAAAATGACTACGTTGCTGGAACTTTACTCCACAGACACAGAAGGGATAGGGCATGCATACACAGGCACCCTGTAGCTAAGCAAAGAGAGGGTCTTAAAAGATCAAGTTCCGTGATCAAAGTCAGCATGGCACTGGGCACGGCTTTGAGGTTTTCCATTGCTGGGAAATGGTGGCAAGTAACAAGGAGCTGGAGAGTCACTTACCTTGGAGCAGACTGTGGGGTCCGATCTCTGACCCCTAAGTTCTTTGCTGTGTTCTGAACTCGTGCTCCCTGAAAGAAGTCAGGAAAATCACATTTAGTTTTAATTAGTATCTAGAATAATAGAGTATTTATTCCAACAATGCAGTTGAAGTGAAAGTTTAGTAGATGGGAAAGAAGGGAGAAATAATTGGAGCATTTTCAAAATTCATACATTTATGAATCAAAATATTCTAATAAATAATTAAAGAATGAATTTGATTTCTACAACCACTTAAATAATTCAAATTAAGTTTAAATTATGGTTTCTGGTTCACTATCTCCTACTTTACTTTTAGAAACAATATTTAAGACGTTGAAATGTTAAATGAATAGACTATAAATATCTGCTGTGTCCATACTTTTGTGGAACAGAAAAAGACAGTCATCTCACATTTCTGTACTTATTTTTGGCCCTAGCTGAATAATAGCTATTTCAAAGTCCATCTTCTTTATCCTGCTTATGTTCTTCAATAGTTTTATAGCAATCTCTGGAAAGGCACATGTATGTGGTTCTTATATGTAAAATATAAATATTCTACCTCAAAGTTCACAGTACAAAGACATTATTCATAATGAAAATAGCTTTACAGTATGTTAAATTCATATATTATGTTTAAATTGCTGCAAATTTTCTAATGGAAATTAGAAAATAGAACCAAAGATCAATGTTTGGGGCTGAGGATGTGGCTCTATCACTTACAAGGCCCCAAGGCCCAAGGCCTTAGAGAAAATTTGTAAACGTAGAAAACTTTATACTGTTCACTGTGCTTCTCTTAATGATAAATCTTCACACAACTGTACTATGATGATCAAAACAATAAATTACTGTTGCACAATGTTTAAACAAAGGTGCATCTTTTTCAGATTTCACCACTTCCCCCCAAATTCTCTTTCTTTTCCAGAATCCCACACTGATTTTTTTCTTGTGAAAGGAGGCAGTAGTTTATCTTTTGACTGTAACAGCTTTGATGAGTGGTTGTCATTATTTTGTAGAATCTTTCAATTCAGGTTTGTCGGATGTTTCCTCATGATAAGAGGGAAGAAACACATTTTTGGCAAGACAGTCACAGAAGTGACATTGTGCTTCCTGGTGCATTATCATCATCAGATCACATGATGGCAGCATGTTTCATCACTGGTGACATTCACTTTAGGCACTTGGACAAGGTGGCATCTGCCCAATGTTTTTCACAGGAAGATTACCATCTTTCTTCTTGTAGTTTTTAGATATGCTGATGAGGTCATAGGACAGCATATAGATATCTTGTTTCTCTTCAAACTCTTGTTCACTTATCTTAAACTCCACTGGTATATCTTTCTTCCAACAATAACACTATAGTAACCTTGAATTGGAATACTTCTATAAAAAGGAGTATCTCTTTTCACAGATGACATATTTTTCAAGAATTTATTTAAATCAATCTATTTATTTTATCCCTGAGTTATGATCTAATTTTTAAATTACTAATTCTTTTGTTGTTGTTCAAATTCTTCCAGTTTCAGGCAATGAAACTTCCTTAGAGATTTTTGCATCCCTTTTCATTCTCCTTCCTTTTGGTTTTCTTTTCTGAATTCAGAAAATATTTTATTTAAGGAAAGATAGCAGGGCAGCTTCAAGATTCTGGGAGGGGTTTCCTGTGAAACAGGATTCCAGAGAAAGGCAGGAACCTTTCCCTTTCTATAACTTCAAAAAAAATAGTGGGGGTGAGCATTTTTTAAAAGCTGTATTCTAAAAATGTGAGCCATTGGAAGAGGATTAAGATGATTATCATTTTATTTTTTTACATTATTTATTTATTTATTTTTCTTTTGGGGCCATACCCAGCGATGCACAGAAGTTACTCCTGGCTCATGAACTCAGGAATTACTTCTGGCAGTGCTTGGGGGACCATATGGGATGCTGGGAATCGAACCTGGGTTGGCCGCGTGCAAGGCAAACGTCCTACCCGCTGTGCTCCAGCCCCGAGATGATTATCTTTTGATGCTTGGTCATCTGGGTCATTGGCACAATTTAGCCATCCAGATTATCCGGCACCATCTAGGTGTACCCTTGTACCTGCATCTGCATCACTTTTGAAACATCATTTCCTCTTTTTGGCACTTCAAGATGTTGCAGGCTCATCTCCCTGCCTCAGCTGCAATTCCCTGAGTCATTTTTTAAAAATTTAATTTTATTTATTTTGGGGAAGAGGGACTGGGCCATACCTCAGGGATCATTTCTGGTGGAGCTCTGGCCACTAGATGTGGTGCCAGGGATTCAACTACTAAGATCAGCCACAGGCAAGGCTTAGCCCCTGAACACTTATTTCTGGATTCTCCTCTTTCATTTATTTATTGTTTGGTGAAGCAAGAAAATTTTTATTGAAACTTATTTAGAAACATGTAAGGGGCAAGGAAGAGAGAAATATGTGTTTTAGAGAGAACACAGGATTTTTTCAGAGTGGAAATAGGCAAGAAAAGAAACAGAGAAAAGCAAATGAGAAATATGTTCAATGGAGAACAGGAACTTGAAGAGCAAGCTCCTTCTTCTTCTTTAAATGGAAAATCATCTAGCCTGGGTCTGCTTTACTAGCAGGAATCAGTAGTAGGAACCTACTTCCAAGGTCTTCTCAGAAGACTGAGTGAGTTGGTTAATGCAGATATCTCAAAATAATCTGTCTGCATAATATGCATTATGGTTTTAGTGTCACAATTTTTTATTAACCAATTTATACAGCGATTTTTAATTTTAATCATAATAGATGCTTGCTATACTGAGCATCTAATTATACACTCACACATTCTACTTGGAATTCAGCTGTAATTTTTTTTTTGGCTTTTTGGGTCACATCCGACGATCTTCAGGGGTTACTCCTGGCTCATGCACTCAGGAATTACTCCTGGTGGTGCTCGGGGGACCATGTGGGATGCTGGGAATCGAACCTAGGTTGGCCATGTTGGCTGCGTGCAAGGCAAATGCCCTACCCGCTGTGCTATCACTCCAACCCCCTCAGCTGTAACTTGTCAGATGCTCAACAAGTTAGCTAATTCCATCACACTTACCACCATCCAACGGCCAAATCAAATGTCGTCTTAATGAAGAACTTAATGTTCATTTATTCTACTTGGTGATATTTGAAGTGCATTGGGCATATTCACTTATTTAATTCTGACAACACTATTAGTTAAAGACTATTATTATTTTCGTTTGAATAATGAGGAAACTGAGTAACAGAGAAGTTAAGAGTCTTATCCTAACTCACGAAGACTGAAAACTTTGTATTGGGGATTCACATGGAGGCTGCTAATTCAACAGTCCGCATGTTTGGCCACTATCGTTGATTCACTTTTTGCATGAAGCTTTCCCTAATTATCCTTGAGGAACTAGCTCACTAACTAGACAGCATTTAGCAAGTATTCTTTACTACGTGTCATTCCAGAAACCTGTGACAGCAAAGTAAAATGCACCCAATGTTCCAACCAAAAGGAGTTGGTCACAGTCTACCAACTTATTTGTTATGTGCTTCGTGTTCAGATACTGAGGTTGTACATAACCTTGGCACACTTGCCTGCTGGTACTTGTATCACAGCAATTTATACACCATGAGGTCAGGTAAGAGCATGATCGTTCCTCTTCATGGTGCTTAGCACAATGCTGTGTTATCATACATAAGTAGTTACACAAAATCTTAGACTTTACTAGATGTTTAAGAATTCTAGATAGGCTTCTACAAAATTGTGCTTGGAATATATAATTTAGAGAATAAAAAACTTGAAGTTTTATAATAGAAATATGATAAGTATGACGCCTTGGATTATAACTATTACCAAAAAATGCCAAGGGTTATAGTATCCTCCCTGTTAGCCTTTATATTAATCTCTATCCTCTATCTCTTTTATTCTTCTATTCTATATTTTAATTTCTAACAGCCAGCTAGTTAAAACACTATAAAAAGCACAGAGATAAAATCTGTACATAAAATTATACTTCAATAAAATAAAACATGCTTTAAAAAGTTGCTTCTCTTTAAGAAAAAGTGAATTATCGGAGAATATTTTATTCATCAATTTAGAAATTTCTCTATGTAATCAATTTCTGGAAAACTGAATGTAAATGGTTGAAAGGCAAAAGAGATGGAAAGGTTAGATCTTTGATTCACTCTTCTGTTTCAATTACCACATACGAAGTGAGTAAGAGCTGGGTTTCAGATTGGATCTCAGCCATTAATCCTATTGCCCGTAACTGCTAAATTACAGCTGAGAGAAGACACAAAAGTACACTGAAAAGTATCCTCTGTGCACCCCACAACCCAATTTCTCTAGAGAGGATCTGGAGCTCTCATCTTTCACAAAGTTGTAACAGATGATTCTGCATCTCCAAACCACCTGCAGAAGCTGTAGCTTGGAGTAGAGAAACAGAGAGGAAGTTACTTATTCTAAAGTATTTAATAAATGAAAAACTAGAAGAAAGGAAGAATAAATATTCAAAACAACTATAAGAAATACCAGATTTTTCAATATTTTAAATTATGTTTTACAGATATACAGAATATGTTTTGCCAATCCACACAAACATATAAGCTGCAATATATGTAATATTTTAAAGAGGTTAATACCAATTAAATAAATCATTATTGCCCATGTAATATCTTTCTCACTTTTTCTGCTCTATTTTATCCCTCTCCAGTTTTAGGTTTAGAAATTAAAATTTCTGATTTAAATTTTGATATGTTAATCTATAAAGCCAACTCACATTATCTCTTTCCTGGACTATCCTATAAAAGTTCAACCAATATTTTAGTTTGCCACTAATCTTAATTTTCAAAGACTTTTCCACGTCGTACCACAAATTTACTCTAACAGCCAAATGAACCAGAAAGAATAATCTCTCTGTATGGTTTAATATCCAAATCCAAATCTTTATATGGATAATCACAAATTTACTTTAATCTAATTTTAAAAATCAAATTTGTATATCCACCCAAATAAATCCTTCCTATACCTGCTGGCATTTGCAACTGTATTTGCCCTTTTCCATCTGAACTGCACTGGGTCATATGCTTTTTGTAGCTGTAACCTTTATTTAGTAAATCCCTCCTGGATCTTGGTTTTCAATCTTCAGCTCTGGGGTTCGTAAACTAAAGCACAAAATCTTGTGTCCTCCTTATACCTAGTTTCTGTAGCTCTCAGGTCTGTACTGACCTCACCTAGATTTTAATTTTGGTTTGGCTGACATTCTACAACATAATTTTGGGAGCAATCCTCAGGGATTTCCCTGTTTGTTGAGAGTCACACACTATTCAATCTTTAGTAAATAAAGCAGCTAATTGCAAAAGTGTATCTTAAAATACTAAGTCATCATCTATGGGACAATTCAAATCAAGTTAGCGAGTAGAACACATTGCTAAATCAATTTTTTATGGTCACCCTGAGAAAAGGTGTAAGGATATAAGAATAAACTGAAATTTTCCAACTTGCTTACAGTTGTATCTTTTCTGCGAGATCAAGCACATTTTCTTAGAAAATGGGAGGTAGGTGCAATTTTGTTATATATTAATATTTATGTTACATGATTACAATAGCATTATCACTATGGTTTGTTATACAAGATTACTGCATAGGCTGGAGTATTATTTTTAATATTACCCTTTTATAGAACTTTAAGGGTCAAATTTCTAGATCTATCATTAAAAAAATATGGGTTACTGAATAGTTATTTCATTCTCTCTCTCTTTCTTTCTCTCTCTCTCTCTCTTTTTGGAGGGTGGGGTAGGTGGACCCCAGCTGGCAGTTCTGAGGGCTTACTCTGACTCTGCACTCAGGGACCATTCCTGGTGTGCTTAGAGGAACATATGCAGTGCCAGGGATGGAAGTAGGCTCACTTGCATGCAAGGCAAACACCTTCACCCTCATACTATTGCTCCAGCCCCATTCCCTCTTTAAGCAGTTTAGTGACATAAAGACAAATGACTGCTATTCTTCTTGTAAAAAAAATTATCTTAGGGATCTTCTTAACTTTGAATTAATGAACAAACTTCTTGCATGGCATGAATTCCCTTTGGGATCTCCAGCAGCAAGTAAGATCCTCAGGAATTCATTCCCCACTTTCTTTCCTTTCATTATTATTGTAATGACAAGGGGTCATATGCAGGCTTGCTTGTAGTGCTAAGTAGGGGTCATAAATCTTGTTGCTGTGCTTCTACATGCCCTTGTGGGTGTCGTTCCCCTGGCCACAGTGCTCACCCCTCTTTTAGCTGCAACGGTACAAATGCAACTTGAGGTCTCAGACTTGAAAGGCTGGAGCATATAGCACTGAGTCATCATAGATTTCCAGCTGCTTCTTCTCTTTACTTTCCTCCTTTCCCCAAAGCTATTCCTGAAGCATTATTAAATCACCATCAATGTGCCCTCCCACAAAGGTCATATCCTTTCATAAGCCCCAAACCTGACCAATTTGCCTGGCTAGCTCCCTTCTTTCCTTTAGGCTACCCGAAACAACCCCTTTGCAGCTTGTCTGTGTTTCTTAGGGAAACTTCACAGAGATGTCTAGGTTCTATTACTCCCTTGGAATGAGTGTTTCTCATTCACAGTTTCCCTTTGGGACTAGAAAAGCACCATCACATCTGGATACCTGTCAGATACCTGATCAATAAAAAAAGGGAGAGAGGGTAAAAATTTGGGTCATATATAATAATTCTAGAAAAAGAGATTGAGCCAGAATGCATCTGAGTCCCTGAGCATGATCCCTAGCACAGAAAGAACAACAAAATACATATACAAACAGACACAGAAAGACAGAGAGACAGACAGACAGACACACAGACAGACAGACACACACACACACACACACGGGACTTACCTGCTTCCGCATTACATCTGTTGCCTGCATAATATAGCGAGGGGGCAGTCCATGGCTTCTGGCCAGAATGATGGCCTGCTCCAGCGTCACACTTAGTGTACACCTGTATGCAAAGACCAATGCAAGTCAAACCACATTGGTACTTATTATGTTCTTCAAGACAGTCTGAGTTACTAATGATGGGTAGCCAAATATGGAACCTCTGAATCTGCCTTCTCAGAGTTGCTCACTTTTCCTCACTTATCTCCCATGATGTATGTGTTACTTGCATGTATCTTGCCAGTTTTCCCCATACTAGTCTTTTATTACAGAGGTTTTAGCAAAGATCTCAAAAGGTAGAGGGAAATTTATCTTTAAATAAAAAACTGCCATCCAAAAATCTAAGTGACAGCATAATGAAATGTTGATTTTCTACACAGAACACTAGCTTCAAATATGTTATAAGACAAGGGATGTGACTCAATACTAGAACACATACAAAGCAACTGCCTAGGTTGATTTTGTTCAATGTCAGGAACTGAATAACATTTTTTTCCTTTTTTTGGGACACACCCAGAGATGCTCAGGGCTTATTCCTGGCTCTGCACTCAGGAATCACTCCTGTTGGTGCTCAGGGAACCATATGGGATGCAGGAACAACCCTGGTTGGCTGCATACAAGGCAAATGCCTTACCCACTGTACTATCACTCAGGACCCTAACAACAATTTTCTTAAGTTTAAGAAGGTAAAGGCCCTCCCGTTGATCATCAATTTGCTCGAGCGGGCCCAGTAACGTCTCCATTGGAGACTTTGTTGTTACTGTGTTTGGCATATCGAATATGTCACGGGGAGCTTGCCAGGCTCTGCCGTGCAGACGAGATACTCTCGGTAGCTTGCCAGGCTCTCCGAGAGGGGCGGAGGAATCGAACTCGGGTCGGCCATGTTGGCTGCGTGCAAGGCAAACGCCCTACTGCTGTGCTATCACTCCAATTGTAGAGGTACACTTCTGGAATCCAATTTAAGTATTTAAATGTAAAAAAAAGCCATGAAACTGCTTAAAAGAGAGCTTATACACAGAACACTATGTGAAGGACAAACATGCGACCAAGCCGGGTTCCGAAAAGGATTCAGCACGATCGACCATATCCACATGATAACCAAGCTCATTGAGGTTTCTCAAGAGTTCAAGGTGATGCTCTATCTAATGTTCACTGATTTAAAGAAGGTCTTTGATTCTGTTGAGATGGAAGCCATCATCGAAGCCCTAGCCAAACAGGGCGTTCAAACTCAATACATCAGGATCCTCCATGAGCTGTATTGCAGATTCACTACCAGAATCTCACCATTCTACAAAAAAGTGATCATCCATGTCAAGAGAGGGCTTTGGCAGGGTGATACCATTTCACTGAAACTCTTCAGTGCCACCCTTGAGAACGTAAAGCGACAACTGGAATGGGAAGGAATGGGGGTGAAGATAGACGGTCAACAACTACACCACCTCCGCTTTGCTGATGACATCGTTCTAATAACACCAAACATTAGCCAAGCGGCACAAATGCTAGCCAACTTCGACGGTGAGTGTGGAAAGGTCGGACTCCAGCTGAATCTCATGAAGACAATATTCATGAGAACGGTCTCGTTTCTGACATTCCTTTCGGTCTCAATGGAACAAACATCTCCAAATGCAACAGCTATGCGTATCTAGGTTGAGGAGTCAACATGACAAAAGACCTGGCACCTGAGTTGCGCAGGAGGAAGAGAACGACTTGGAATGCCTTCAAGAGCTTTGAAGAAATAACTAAGAGGATGAAGAACCTCCGGCTATAGGCACATCTCTTCGACTCCACTATTCTTCCTGCATTAACATATGTCTCAGAGACCTGGACCCTACAAAAACAGGATGAGAACGCTCTTCCAGCCTCCCAAAGAGGAATCGAAAAAACTATGCTTGGAGTATCACGTTCACTCAAGTGAGAGAAAGAATCCAGCGTTCCGACCTCTGTCAACAATCAAGAATCAGGGACACTGTCTTGTTTGCCAAGGCTTCGAAAATCAGATGGGTGGACAAGTAATGAGATTTGGAGATGACCGCTGAACTAGAGCCATTACCGACTGGATTCCATGGGACGTCAAAAGACCGCATGGCCGCCCACCTATGAGATGGTCACGCTTCTTTGTCAAGACCCTGAATGATCGGTTTGAGGCTCTTCGTGTTCCTAGAACAAGCAGATGCTATTGGGCCTCACTAGCACCTGACAGGGATGAATGGAGACGTTGCTGGCACCCACTCGAGCGAATCAATGAATAATGGGATGTCAAGTGATCAAGTGATACACAAAAAATTATGTAAGCAGAATTATTAAAAAATATTAAATAATTATTAGTATTATTTTTCTTGATATTTCATATAATTCATGAGCAATTTATATTTTCCATTCAGCTTCACGTGCCAATAACAGTTATATATTATAAAGAGAATGTTTTAAAGATGGTATGTTTTCTAAATCACATTTATGAAAGTTTCAAAAGGAATTTTGAATTGTTTTTCCATGTATCTGCAAGACAATTCAGAATTCAAACATAAACTTGGTGATTGGTGAGACTTTTGACTATGTTTGGTCCATTAAGAAATTTATTTTTATATCTTTTCACATCTTTTTTTCCTTAACAGTAGCTCTTATTACCTACGATTATTTCTTAATATTTTCATGTGTGGGCTCCAAAATATTTTAAGGGGTACCATTAGCTTACAATTCTTAAAATGTTCATACTTTTATATTTTTTCATTTACATTTTAATACTAATGGATTTTTCTTTATAGATTTTATTTATTGGTATTTCACTAGTGCTTTCTCCATATTTTTTAATTTACCTCTGTAGCCTGGCATTTTATTCATGCATTTTCTAGATCTGTCTAGTATAAATGAAAATAAGCTCTCAAAGAAATTGCTGATATGTAAGGAAAATCTAACTCATTTATCCTTGCTATAAGACAATACGACAGAAGTTCAATACACTTAATAAATTTCCATACAGATAAAATAAGGAAAAAGGAAGAATCATTTAAAACAGCACCATCATAATTTATAAAAAACCTGCCAAACTGCAAATATATTATTATACATAATTGCATTCTAAGGAGCAACATTTTAAGATCCATTGGCTGTTAAATGACTTGAAGAGTAGCTTCCTCATTAACATTAAGAGAACTATTTAAAAAAACATTTATAACACATCTATATTCAAAGAGGCTAAAAAGCTTTAAAATCAGCTTCTAATGATGTATATCATTTGTAAATATTTAGTATGAGCTTGGTAATATATAATTGCAGTTTTACAACTACTTACATGTACGAGTATGTCAATGAAAGCTAAGAAGTATAACTGACAGTTCAGGTTTTTAAAAAAAATCAATTTTTTACAAAGCATTTAATTGTAAAATTTACTTGACAGACTAAATAATTCTTTTCTCCTCCTTAAAGTCTCCTCTACTCCAACTTGAAATTCTTAGTTCTTATTGATCCTAACACTTTAATCAATAATGCTCATTACACCAGTTGAAGGAAGCTAAGAAATATATTCTTCTGATCATATTGAAATATGTCCTTTTGAGTAAGGATGACAGCCTCCTCATACACTCCTATCTGTGAAGTATCTTTAACAGAATGCTACCATTTTTATCCATTTTCTTAGCTTGTTTAAAATAATTCATGTCTCTTTATTCAGGGATGGAGCGATTGTACAGCAGGTATGGCATTTGCCTTGCAAGCAGCTGACCTGGTTTGATCCCTGGCATTCCATATAGTCTCCTGAGCACTGCCAGAGTGATTCCTGAGCACAGAGTCAGTAGTCAACTCTAAGCATTATGAGGTGTGTCCCCCAAATTAATAAGTAAACCAATAAAATAATTCCTGTCTCTGTACTTCCACTGTAGTAAACAACAATATAGGAGCAGTTACCTACCTGAAATCTGAAAAGATTTTATTGTGATCACCTGATCGATCAACTTGGCCAGTAAACATATCCTCTGACAGGGAACCTCAGAGTACAAATTGTCTAAAATTGACTAGGTACCTACATTATCTAATAGAAAACTCACCTTTAAAATGAATATGTTAATGCCCCAAAGTGGAGAGTAAAAAGGAAGCTACCTGCTACAGAGGTAGGAGGTGGGATGGGGAGGGGGAGGGATACTAAGAACATTGGAGGTGGAAAATGAGCACTGGTAGAGGGATAGGTGCTTGATCACTGTGTGAATGAAACTTAATCATGAAAATTTGTAACTGTACCTCATAGTGATTCAATAAGAAAAAAATGAATATGTGGAGACTGGGGGTATAGTACAATGGATGGGGCACTTGCCTTGTATGTGGCTGACCGGGTTTCATCCTGGCACCTCATGTGGTCTACTGAGTCCTTCAAGGAGTGATCCCTGAATAAAGTGCCAGGAATGATCCCTGCACACTGCTAGGTGTGGCTCAATAACTTACTAAATAAAATGGGTATGTGTATTTTCTTTCAAAATATCTGTATTTTTAGAAAGATGTTTTGTCTATATATACCTCTTCTTTTGTCTTTTGGGTGTGGGTTCCAGGTGGTCCCCAAGGGGCCCATGGGTAACTCCCAGAGACTCTTGCCCAAAGTGCTGAGGGCTAGGGATAAATGATATGACGCAGCTAAGGCTCTGCAGTGCCTGGGACTGCTTGGTTACTCCAGTGTCAGGGGATGATTCAGGGCTACAGCTGGTGATATGAAGATATGTGCCATTTGGTGCCAGTAATGGAACCCAGGTCAGGAGCATGCGTGACCCCTGTCCGGTTTCCCCATACCAGTAATTGCTTTTTCCTACTAACTGCTGTGCATCTTCTAATTAAGACCTGAGATTAATTTGGAAAAATGTAAAAAGTGAAAACTTAAAAAAGAGACCATCAGATCCACATGGAAAAATGTTGTCTGAATTTGATTCCCATTTGCTCTACCCAATGAGGACAGTGCAGAAAGCACAGAATTTCTCCCAATTGAAGAGAGTGAGAGCCGAGCAAGAAGTTCACAACTTGGCTAACAACATGTCCTTATTTGTCTCGTAGATTTTTTTATTTTCTCTCAACAATTTCAATTTGAAT